TGTAGTGAATTTTCAATGACTAGAACAACATTGGAGGACTTCCTACTTCAAGATGGTTTTTAGTCTGTGGTGATCAAGACAGTGTGGTAGCAGCATAAATATGGGGCAGTGATCAGCCCAGCAGGGAACCGAGTCCAAGTGCACAAACACATGTATTGCTGATTGACTTTTTTGACAAAGATACAGAGATACAATTTAGTAGGTAAAGGATGTTTTTAACAAATAGAATTGGAACAGTTGGATAATCACAGACAAATTTGACCTTTAGTTGATACCTGGCTCCACATAAAAAGGTATCTTCAAGGACCATACACTTAACTGTAAATTGTAAAACCTCAGAAATTTCAGAAGCAAACAGGAGAATCTCTGTGACTCTGGGCTGCACCACTGTTTCTCAGGTAAGATCAAGATCAAGAAAATGTTCATAAATTTGGCTTTTTAAATTTGGTAAACTGTTCTTTGATTTGAAAAACAACCCATGGACTGGGAGAGAGCACCTGCAGATCTGATACCTGTTAAAGGATTTGTTTTCAGGGAATGTTAAGAATTTTCCTTTGCTGGTGGGAATGTAAAACACAACCAATTTGGGAAATATTTTGTCAGTTTTCTGAAATGTCAAACACACAGCTCCCATCCTCTGCCATCTTCTGCTGCACACTCACCCAAAGTGAAAGCCACTACCAAGTTTGGACATGCACAGTTAATGGATGCTTCATTTGTAAGAACCACAGGGTGGGAGCATCTCAGATGATGTCTACAGTAATTCAGTAAGGGTTTGCTGTAGTCTCTGCTATGGCCACAGATCACAGTGACAGAAGCCAGACCAAAAAACAAAAACTACAGGGTTCATTTATATGAAAATTGTAAAAAACCTATTTTTTTTTTTTTTTTTTTTAGTATTGAACTCAGTGGTTGGCTGTGGGGTGGGGGAGTGTGATGATGAGGAGAGGCAGAAGGCACAGACTCTGTAGGGGTGTGGAGCTGTCTGGGACAATAGGTGTGTTCAGTATCTGTAATGGGTATAGAGCTAACACTAGCCAGCCAAGCTATGTGGCCGTCATAACATCTGGGGTTGGTGTTTTGGACAGAAGTGTTTGCTTTATCGTTCTAGCAGTTTAGGAATATGGGTCTCCTCATGAGGGTCCTGTTTGTGATTCTCACCCACCAGAGAAGGAGTTGGCGATGTGCAGAACCTAAAATGCTAATGGGGTGGCCTCTTTTTACAGTGACTTTCTGTAGGAATGAGGATGTAATCCCATGAGAAAAGTGTTAGTCCCTTCACATTGCTCTCCAGAATCTAATCGTCTTCCAGGAGGCCTACCTCTTAAAGATTCTGCCATTTCAAAATTGGGACACGGGACACCAGGCTTCCCAGACTGAGGCACGTGTGGGGCACATTCAGACTGCATCTGAACCTGAGCACTGTGCATGCTTTATTACTCAGTGGGGCTATTAAGATAAATGTGTTTTACTTTTTGTACACATTGACAATTAAAATTTAACTCTAGGGATGGAATTGGGGACTCAAATGATAGAGAGCAATATGATGTATTACAGAGCTTAAATGTGGAAACTTCTCATTATAAAATTGCAGATGTGGAGCTGGAGAGATAGCTCAATGTTTAATAGCACTTGCTACTCTGTCAGAGGATCCAGGTTTGAGTCTCAGCATCCGCATGGTGGCTCACAACCACTTGTATCTCAAGCATTCAGGGACCCACATCTTCTTTTGGCCTCTGAAGGCTCCTGCATATATATGGTACACATATACAAGCTCACACATATGTACATAAGTAAGAAAAATTGCTGGGCTGGAGAGATGGCTCAGCGGTTAAGAGCATTGCCTGCTCTTCCAAAGGTCCTGAGTTCAATTCCCAGCAACCACATGGTGGTTCACAACCATCTGTAATGAGGTCTGGTGCCCTCTTCTGGCCTGCAGGCATACACACAGACAGAATATTGTATACATAATAAATAAATATATAAAAAAAGAAAAATTGCAGATATGTGTAATTAATATGAGTAGTTTAGGAAATTGAATTTATTTTACTCAAAGGTATCTTAACAAATCAGGAAGTGCAGTGTAGCTGTTTTCTGGCTTTGGATTTCTTCAGAACTGGTTTTTCTTTCTTTCTTCTTCTTCTTTTTTTTTGGTTTTGCAATTTTTAAAAAAATGAGCTATTTTAAATTTAAAATTTAAACACTTAGAAAATGTTATAAATAACTGTTTGTCTGTGCACCATGTGTGTACCTGTGCCCACAGAGGTGGGTACCAATGGAAGCCAGAAGAGGGTCATTGGATCCCGTGGAACTGGAGTTACAGATGGTTATGAGCCGCCATGTGTGTGATAGGTATTCAACCTGGATTCTCTGGAAGAACAGCAGGAGCTCTTAACTGCTGAGCCATCTCTCCAGCCCTGATCTGGCGTTTCTGAACCTGATGTTGATTGTAGAACAGGAGCCCTGGTGCTACCCCATGTTGCTACAGTAGGTTCTTAACAGATACAGGGAGTTTATTTTTTAAAAAATAGTTTCTAAAAGGGCTGTGTGCCATCTAATTGCATAAAACGGTTTCCTCTAATTTGAATATAATCCTTGACATATGACATCCTCTGTAACACAAGTATTTAAAATTGCTGTTTCTCTGTTTTCCACTATACTGAAAGCTACGTATCAACACTAGATGTGTGTTAAGGATGTAATAATTTACATAATTATTGCCCTTCCTCATATCTGGAGAGCCTTAAAGAAAATGATGTTGAACAGTCAAAATAGGGACCAGACACCACACACAAAAGTTTATGGACTGAACCTGACAGCAGAGCTTTGTTCCAGGCCCATTTATTCTTCCTTCAGATAAAGTTCTTGAAAAATTGTGCCTTGAACCCTTCACTCAGAGCAGGTTAGGGGTGGGTAAACTGGTGACACATGCAGATTGCTAGTAATGAAAACCAGGAGTTGATACACCTCGGTGGGGTGAGGGGAAAAGAAATAGGAAAGGAAAGGAAAAGGTAGAAAGTGGTGAACCTAGCATGCTAGGAGCTAACAGTTCTGCAAATTAGTTGCCTCTGGGAAAGTGATGGTTAGTAAAAGCAGAAAAGCATGAAGTACTTGTTCTTGGAGGTGTTGGTCCAGCTGTCAACCATGCCTTATTTCATTAATGCTAATGATGGCCATGCATATGTCCTTAGAACTTCAGGTGACGAACCTGAAACCTAGCAAGGTTGCTACAGTTAAGTCTGCGATTTAGGATTTAGGAGTATGCATTTAGTTCTCCCTCATTCCACTTATCCTTCTGTTGATTGTAATTAGTGCTCATCAATAAAGAAAAGAATAAAGCTTTTTTTCTTTTTTTAAGTAATTTCTCTGAAGTAAACCATGTTGGCCCTGAGCTTGTGGTACCTAGTGGTTTTCATGGTTGACCTCCCTAGTATATGGGACTAGAGGTGTGTGTGTTTGGCCTTAACTTTTTTTCATTTTAAGGGTCAGTATACATAAAAGTATTTTAAAGCAATTTTTGCTTTATAAAGTTCAAATTTTCCACTAAAAGATGTTAAGATAGGAACTGAGGATGTAGCTCTATTGGTAGAGTGCTTGCTTGATATGCCTGAGACCCTGGGTTTAAGTCCTAGCACCATTAACCAAGTGTGGTAGTGCTTGCCTTTAGTTCCAACACTCAGGAGGTGGAGGCAGGAGGATCAAGAACTGTCTTAGGCTACAAAGAAGAATTCAAGGCCATCTTAGGATACATGTGATGTGGTCTCAGAAAAGTAAAAGATATTAAGAAAATGATTTCTAACTATTTTTGGCCTTGAAAAGATTAAATATGTATTATATGTACATTAAATCTAGATTTCTGGATAACAAACTATGAGTTGATGTTATTAATTATCTACTAAAATAAATGATAAGTGATACAAGTGTTCAGGAGTTTAACTCCTTGTGTTCTACACTGTCCTAGGAGCAGGGTGACTGTGCACACATGTTAACTCATGCCATAGCTGTGGGGAGTTTGAGTTGATACTTTTAATTGCATGCAGTGCTCTGAACGCATTGGTATAACTTTTAACTTTGACTCAATTTTAAAGATTACAGCCATCATTTTGAAACTTAATTTTAGATTTTAGTGTTTTTCTTATAAAAAGATAGATGTTGGGCCAAATACTCTGCCAATGACAGGCCTAAAAGTGTCACTTTCTGAATGTACTCGTTTTCACTGCTGTTTATTGTGGTATAACATGGACTAAAGGAAAATGGCTCTGTGAGCTTGCCCACCTGGCTCACATCTTCTTTCCCACTTGGAATTGTTTTTAGAACACCTGTGATGTGTTTTTCAGGATTCCAGGTAGTCTGCCTTGATACTCACATGCTGTGCAGCTTGGCAAATGTTGTGGGTCAGCAGTGATGCCTGCCCAGGCACTCCTGTGCCTAGAAATGAGTTTGTAGAAGGTCTGCAAGGCACTTAGAGCAGTGCTGGGCTCGTGGGGTCCAGGAAGTACTTTCCCCTAGGCTGACTTGTGAGGCTTAAATGGGCTGTGTATGAAATGCTTGATGTGGGCCTGGTATCTGCTAAATGATAAGCAGATGACAGTGGCTATAATTTAAATATTCCAGTGCAGATGACAGTGGCTATAATTTAAATATTCCAGTGCGGATATGTTTAAAGATCTGTTTCTTTGGATCTCTATGTATAGGAGATCTTTGGGTAATTTACTTGGAGAAGTGAGGAAAAGTAGCTAGTTTCTATATTGTCTTTCCCCAGTAGGTACAAATCACAGATAAAAATGTTTAAAGTAAATATATAATTTTTTTCTAATTGCCAAGTTTAGATAGTCATTTCAAATAGTAAATGATTTTATTATTATATAATATATATAATAAATGATTTTTATTATTAAAATATAGGTCTTGATGAGCATTACAAGCATTAGTGAATTTTGAAATGCCGTGTCGATATCTAACCAAATTTTCTTTTTTTTCTCTTATTGTCATCTTTATAGGATTGTGGAATCTCGCGTCTTTATTTTCCAACCTTTGTTTGTTTGTGTTGATGCCCTTTGCCTTTTTCTTTCTGGAATCAGAAGGTTTTGCGGGCCTGAAAAAGGTAAGTAAATTGAGTTTTGATTAAATTTGTTAAATAACTAATTAAATATCACTCATATTAAACTAGAAGTTGATTTAAACAAACAGTTGAATTACTAAATAACTATGTTGACACATTGTTGTTAAATATTAATAACAATGCACAGTGAATTATTTGTGTACTCAGTAGGAAGTACATTTATAGTGCACGTCCCACTGGAGGAGTGTCTCCTGTGAAACTGATAGCCTGATAGCAAAGCTATTAGGCCTTTCTAGGAGGCCTCATCTACTTTAGAACCGATAGGATGCTCTTAAAGTACATCTTTTTAAAAAAAAATTGTTTATTTTTATTTTATATGCATTAGTCTTTTGCCTGTATGTATGTCTGTGTGAGGGTGTCAGATCTTGAAGTTACAGACAGTTGTTAGCTGCCATGAGGGTGCTGGGACTTGAACCTGGGTCCTCTGGAAGAGCAGTTAGTGCTCTTAACTACTGAGCCTTCTTTCCAGTCCTTACATCTTAACGTGAAAGCTGTTCTACATTTCATATTTTCAGGATAGTAATACATTATAAAAATCAAGTACTCTACAGTAGGTAGACCCCCGTAGTACTGAGAATGGCTCATCTTACATGAATATGGAAGACCTGGGAGTGAGCATATGGGGAAGCTTTTTGAGAACATCTGAAAACATACTATGGCTTTATAGGAGGAGATGACTGACTCTGACTTGGAATACAGAGTGTCCAGCCATAAACTTTGGAATATAATTTAGAAATATAATGAACAAATTTAAGTAAATATTTGAAAGAGTGAACTAGTATTAGAGTTGAGGTATCTTACACTTTTCTGATTTTTACTTCTATTCCTGTTGCAATATATCGAGTGAATTGTGCTTATTCATGTCATAAACTTGACATGGGAAGTTGTAAACATCATGGATTAATGCTTTTTATTTCACATAACTTGCTTCCTCCTTTTTTCGGTATATGACATCTTTCTCCCCCCCCTCCGTGTGTGTGTGTGTGTGTGTGTGTGTGTGTGTTTGCATGTGTTCATGCAGGTGTATGTACATGTAGAGGACAGAGATCAAAATTGCGTGTCTTTCTTGTTTTCTTTCACCATAATTTTTTGAGACAGGAATTTCAAGGAATCTATGTTGACTGAGATTTTCTGTCCTGCCCAGTTTCCACAGTCATTAAGTCCCAAAAGAATCACACAGAGGTTTACATTAATTATAAATTGATTGGCCCATTAGCTCAGGCTTCTTTTTAACTCTTATAACTTATATTAGCTCATTATTCTTGTGACTGGGGCATGACTGCAGACTGCGCTTCCCTCTTCCCAGAATTCTCATTGCCCCGCCTCTACTTCCTGCCTGGCTACTGGCCAAACAGCATTTCTTTAAAATATAAGTGACAGGGTACAGACCATTGTCCCACAGCAAATCTAGAACTAATCAACTTGGCTCAGCTAGTTGGCCAATGAGCTCCAAGGATCTGCCTGTCTCTGCCTCTCTAGCCCTGGAGTTACAGATAGACACCTCTATACCAGCTTTTACAACTAAGGTCCTCATGCTTACATGGCAGGTCCTTTACTGACTGAACCCCAGCCCCACCCCCTCACATAACTTTGCAAAGTATAGAATACTTCATGAATTTGCGTGTCATCCTTGCTCAGGGATATGCCCATAACTGTGCTGTTTCAGTTTTAGTTATGCTGTCAAAGGAGTGTTGTTTATGTGGGGTCTTGCAAATGAGATTGTTTAACACTTGATAGTCTGAGAGACACAGGGGAAGGACTACTGAGAGGTCAAGTGCTTTTGTGGACTGACCTTGTTACTTCAGACGTGAACATTCTGCAGCTGAAAGCTGTCAGCTCACTTCTTATTTAGCAAATGTACTGAGATGAAAATGGATTGTGCTTTGCTATCAAGCTCCAAATTGAGAAAGCTGGCTTTTTTAATGCTGGAATTATTTTCTATCCTAATGTGTTAAGATTGACAATTAAAATTTTATGTTATAGGAAAGAATTACTTGGTTTTAATTTAGAAAGCTGCTATAGTTGGGTGTGGTGGCACATGCGTTTAGTTCCATCATTTTTAGGCAGAGGCAGGTGAATCTCTGAGTTCTAGGCCAGCCTGGTCTATAGAGTGAGTTTCAGGACAGCCAGAGCTACACAGAGAAACCCTGCCTTGAAAAAACCAACCAACCAAATAAGCAAGCAAGCAAACAAACAAACAAAAACAAAAAAAGAAAGCTGCTTTCCTATTTATAGTTTCTTGAGGGAATTATACAAGGTCTTATCACTGATTTTGTTAAAATTCTTATATATGACTAAAACTGAGGCCCCAAAATATTAAATACTATTAAATCATCTAAAGACCTCATGTATAAAATAGCAGTGATATGACATCTGACATTCTCAAAGTCCCACACTGGAAAGCACAAGGAGTTGGCCAAGGGCAGAATGTGGAAAGGGAAGACAAGAGGACCAAGAAATGCTGACAGCAGAGGAGCTGTGCTGTCAGGTGTGAGGGAAGGGGAGGCTGCATCTGAAACCAAGTGTAAGATATCCAGCCTTACAGAGTACTCCAGAAAATGGACAGTCTGAGGAAGAGGCTTGCTGGAGACTCTTCACATGTCAGTTTCTGTGGAAATTTGGAGCTAGAGTTTTTTCCTAGATATCTGTCTGTTCATCAGAAATTTAGTAAGCAGCTCTAAGTATGTGTTACTGTGCCCTTAAAGGAGCTTGCTGGGGCTGCTCATGTAGAACTTAGACTCTGCACTCAAGGGACAGACAGCAGGGGTAAGCAGCAATGCACACAAATAAGCCATAGTTTGACATGTGCTGAGGAACTAACAGAAGTGGTGCCTTGATCTTGGGCCAAGCACAGAGGAGGAGGCCAGCTACATGAGCTGAGTCTTGAGGATGAACAGGGCTTGTAAGAATGACTTTCAAGACTTGTCTTGTAGTCTTTTTGGTTTTTGTACCTACCTTTTTTTTTTTCTAAGTGTGATAAGTCTGCATTCCAGTGTTTCTCATTTGTCATCAAGGGAAGGAGTACCCTGGAACACATGTGCCACTCAGTGCCAAGCACTGCTGGGGAGGGGGTCATGCAGGCAGCAGTGCACAGGTGTGTAGGCATAGATGCATAGACTCACAAAAACCACCTGCTGATATCTGCTGTCTGCACAGTCCCTCCTCTCCCTAACACGGCCTGTGTGCTAGCTATAACTAAGTGCAAGCAACAGCTTTAACTGTTGCTTTACTGCTGCTCTTATTTGGTGTTTCAGGAATACCTGCTCAGTTCACACTCCTTATGAAGATGTAGTTATTAACTAGATAGGTCATGACTTAAGGCAGCCTGTGATTTGGACAGTCCTTGCCTCTGCCCTGTCTGCACTTACCAGCCAGGGAAGGGACTCAGCTACAGCTTGTGAGGCATAATTAACAACAGCCTCTGGAATTAAGACCTGTTGGCAAAAACCCAGAAACATCACCTCTTGTGCTCCTCCTTAGACCAGTGGTTCTCAACTTTCCTAATGCTGTGACCCTTTAATATAATTTCTCATTGTTGTGGTGACCCCAACCATAAATTATTTCCTGGCTACTTCATAACTATAATTTTGCTACTGTTATGGTTTGTAATATAAATGTCTGTGTTTTCGCATGGTCTTAGGTGACCACTGTGAAACGGTTATTTGACCCCCAAAGGGGTCGCAAACGTCAGGATAAGAACCACTGTCTTAAACCTCATATCAGCGAGAAGAACCACCTGAACAGGGATCCAAGAGACAAGTATGGCGTCTCATATCCACATTTGTACAGATTTTGCTGTTAATTATTTTTTACTTCAAATTTTTCTATGGATGGCTAACGAAATACTTTCCTAAATACATATTTAAGCATGTTTGTGTCTCAAAACTCTTCAAGGGTCACCTCATCTTTGGTGGCACTGAAGTGTTGAATGAAGGGACTTGTGTTAAATGTTTGAACAATACAGTCAGTATCATCAAATAATCTGATTTCCAGCCACAAGGGATTTAAAAAAGAGACCAGCAGTTAGAGACCAGCAGGTAGAGGCCAGCAGGAAGAGACCAGCAGGAAGAGGCCAGCAGGTAGAGACCAGCAGGTAGAGGCCAGCAGG